TCAGGCAAGTTCATCGTTAACGCAACAGTTCAACTTTTCGCTGAAAAACCTCGTAATTACGTTCTCAGAAATTCATCACTTTTTAAGCCCAAAACTCCTCCGAACCTTGACATGGATGCTTTTCTCCACCAACAATCAAAACTTCAGCCTGTTCAAACCCAGTGAACGTTCTATTATGCAAAATGTCAAGACTTTCAAAGCAAACAGATGTCATCTCCCAATTTTGTAACATATTTATTAGTCCGATTCTTCCGAAAAGAAGCAAATCTCGAAATCGGCTCGACGCTGAACTTTTAACTGAACAAATCGGTCAGTTCTTTGCGCAACGGAACAAATATGCATAAATTTCGTGCACAGATGTAGAAGACGCCATCACTTTGGCAATTTGCAGGAATGCGAGCGCACAATTTCGTTACATCGGCAGGATGATGAAGCCGAAGATAGGATCTACCCCGTCTCGGGGTATCTGGGTTAGTGAAGAAAAAAGTTAACATTTCTCCCAGTATGTGGCAACTTTAAAAATGCCAAGACTATTTCAAGGTGATGGCTAACAGATGCGTGGAGATTAATCTCGTGACTTTTTTGTTGTTTAGCCCACAATTGTGTGGAACTGGGTTTGAAGAAATAACGGGTTCTTGCGGCACCTGTGCCTGCCATAAATAGAGCTTTCGTGGGGTCGCAAAAGTCAAAGTTATTAAAATGTTGGAAATTAATGAGATTACTCTATTGAAACAAAATAAAATTTCGTTCACGTAAAGGTTAATCATTTTTCAAAATATATGTGTGTGTTTTAATAATGTAGAAATATAAAAATTATTTTAAATAGTCATATGTAATGTGTAACTAAATTAAAACCCAGAAATGTCAAATAACCAGTGTGTTTACTGCTCCAAGCTATTGGCTCATATTTATTCAGTGCAACGTTCGAGATTGAACCGTTCAAGGACCATAACTAGGTATTAATTTTTACATTTACTTTCGCGTATGCAAGTCGTTAAGGTAAGTAAGTTATTAAACTCGTTGGAAAAACTGTTAGCACACGTTTATTTATTACTATTCTTTGTTGGAATATTTGGCATTGTTTATTCTTACATTTTTGTACTCAATTTTTTTTCCAAAAGTAGTCTTATTTCGCCAGAGACGAAATTAATATTGCAAAGTTGAATACTGGTACTAATTAATTATAATTTATTAAAAACATATACCTTATATGTTATTAATAACTTAGTTGATAAATGATTTTTATTAATATTTCTGAATTAATAACCTTAAATGAATTACATTTTACCTCAAAAGTGACCATGGAGATGCTAACCTGTGAATATTCAAAGCAAACAAGAATACCAAATACTAGACTGGGACCAAATAAAAATACTCAACAATAAACAAAAGTAGTAATTACAATTGTTGTATATATAAATCACGATTTTAATAACTCAAATCAAATTTAACTCGCTGTCAAAAAAAGTAACTCTCATGGTCAACACTTGTTTGTAAAAATATAGCTTTAAACATGTTACTGTAGTTACTGCTGTACTAACGTACAATTTCTTAAGTTACTTTCTACAAAGTTAAAAAGATGTATTTTGACGTAATAAAGTTGCTTTTTGACATTTGTACAAAATGGCATATTATGTAACAACTTTTATAAACGCCTTTTTAGTCACGAGTGTTTAAAAAACGAGTGTCCAGAGAAGTTTGTAAACGTGTTACATACTGTGCTTTTTGTACGACGGACGTTGTTGCTTACAGTTGCCTACGTTTGCATCAATTTTCGAAATGACAAATCGTAGAAAAAGCGTGGTATGTAACACGTATATAAACCTCTCTAGGCACTCGGTTTTTAAACACTCGCCTCGCCCGTGCCTAACTATTAAATACTTGATGTATATAATTGCATCTTCCCTATTTTCTGCTTTCAAAAGCAACAATTTAAGGATTTTTGTAAATTTTTGCGCATAGTAAAACAAATTTAAAAAGCAAATTCTGCTTATATTGTTTATTTATTGTTTGAAGCGTCCCCACTATACTTCGTATTATTATTATCATTATTTCTGTTAAGTCATGCGGTACCTTATAATTGTATTTAATAAATGGCTATAACGGTAATCACACAATTGTAATTCTTCAAAATTAGGTAATAATAGTTGTATTTAGTGTTTAATTAACACTGCAGTGTGCAGAAACAACGTCCATTAAAATTAATTTACATAAAAACACAAAAGTAGCCACTTTGAGAAGTTAATTTAAAAGATAAAAGTGAAACAAAAATGTATGAAACCATATAAAGAAAAAATATTTTAAGTCCCGGCAAAAATATAAAGACAACATTTTCGCTTAGCTTTTTCGCACCACAATTGACATTTTAATGTCAATTGGCTTGGTAAATAACCCGCAGAAAACTACTAAATAATTTACACTTTCTTATATAAAATTTACTTCCTTGTCACTTTTCTTCAGTGTTGATTTGAAAGGTTTTATTTAAAAACGGTTTTACTAACAAAATTATTTTGACTCCAATTAAAAAAACAAAAAAGATAAATGTAAAACAATTAAGTGAAACACAGACTAAGTTAATATGTATTCTAGGAAAAAATGCACAATTGACATGAAAATAGGCAGTTGACTGCATAGAAAATAAGTCTAATTTTTTGAAGCAATATCAAAATTACAAAAAAAATTTCGCAAGTATTTTAAAATTCCATGTGTCAATACTTAGAATTCGAGTAAGTTAAATCGTCTCGGACGAAAAAGTAGTCATTCCAACCATGTTTCCTTAGATATAATGGTTCCAGCTATTGTTTAAAAACAATTTTAAATTCAAATTTGCTCGAAAATTTCGTTATGTAACCTGTTCTAAATTTCGGATTGTGTATTGTGAAGCCAATAATCTATGCAGCTATAATTCAAAATCCATTTAATAAAGGAAAGTTTTATTCATTTAGTTTCAGGGGAACGGAAAGCTCAGCGATCCAATTTATTTTATAGATTCTATGTTGCCAAATATATTTTCTACCTAAATATAACTATGTATTTATCTAAAAAAATTTTCAAAACTACTTAGTCCGGACACGAGAAAGTAGAGAACTTACGGACATTAAATACTATGTTTTAATATTTTCACGAATAATAACGAGATTGCATTACTAGCTTACATTATATTTTAGTCTGAAGTTGCCTTCCTTTTTGTTTCAAAAAATGTTTAATCGTCTACATTTTTTATACCTACATCTATATTTTTTCGTAATCTTGTCATTTTACGGATATTATCTTAATAATAATAATAACTCATAATAATATAAAACCTGTATTATTTCTCTCATCCAGGTGCCTTAGCCGTAATCAAATCAAATTTCAAAATTTTTGCTAAGCTAAGACACTAACTTTCGCTGCATAAAATATAACAAAATTAAATCGCTTTTAAAAAGAACAACAAACAAACACTTCAAATTTTATGTATGAATTGCATTCTCCAAACCACAGTTTAAACTTACGTAAAACTCAAAATTTCAAAAGCATCTATTCTCGATTTTGCAGTTTTAATCAACCGTATGTATACACAAATTTTGAGAAAAAAATCACAATAAAAAACACGAACAACTTCATATAACCCCTCAGCAAAATTCAAAATAATATTTTTCTACCGCCCACGTTTTTTGGTTTTCTAATAGAGCTATTAACGCACGCAAATGACGTCACACCAGTTCGTTAATAGCGGAAAGGCGTTCTTTAATAGATCTGGTGTAATTTAGATCGGTAAGATTGGTAGCAATGACGAGAAATGTCAGGTGAATGTCAGTGGCAAATCTAAACTTAAAATTTCCCACGTTTCCGGACGCGTAACTTCTTCGCAAGACATTTTAACCAATTTTAAATTACGAAAACTCGAATTGATTCGAATTACAATTGTTGTTGTGAAAATTCGAACCTCAAATATTTCGTGGTTAGTGTCAGACCAATCCATCACCAACCACGACAAAAGTCCCCAGATTAAAAAAAGTGCAAATTTTAATTAAATTTTGGGAAAAAACGTGTGCGGTAGAAAAAATAGTATAAATAACTCGTTCATAAGGCCATTGAGGCACTCATCCTTTATATAACTCGCGGCTTCGCCGCTCGTTCTATAAACTTGGATTCGTGCCTCAATATTTGGCTTATGAAACTCGTTCTTTAATATACTATTAATGTTGAAGTAGAAACATGAAAGTATTTTTTTGAACGCCAGAAAAGTTGCTAATTTTTTTGGCCAAAAAATTCCAATCAAACAGTGACGTTACAAAGGTTGCAAAAATTAAGTATCGGAAAGATCTTTCGCGCCAAATTTTACGCTTTGCTGTAAATTTAAATTGTTCAAATGTTCCCATTTTCCGAATTGTCTCCATTCTCCCCTAACTAAGTGATATATATTTATAACGAATGACAGTTTTCGTAAAAGCGGTAAATTTAGTAACATACACAAATTTATCTTGAAGCTGCTGATTGTACTTGCATTTAAGTAAAAAAAATGTGTTACAGTGTTGCCGGTTTAATTTTTTTCTCATTTTAAAAATCATTAGAAAAAGAAATCTAGGTCATGGTACTTTTTCCAAACATGTAATTTTTAAAAATAAAATTTGCCCTACAATTTTATATACATATTTAATTAAATACTTATCATTTTACTCATTCTCGTATTAAAAAAAGTTGTGTTTATTAAATTTCATCCTGCATTTTCTTTAATTAAGCAAATCCATATTCCGGAAAATTTTCAACAGTGAAACGTCTAAGGGAAAATAGAAATTATGCATTTTGGGCAAACACGAATAAAGCGTTCTCCCTACTTATTACTTATTTTTTTACTCTGATAACTTTGCAAAAATTAGCTAGTCTGCCAAATTTTTAAATGTTCTAATTATTATCAATTTTTCCGCTCTTTGAAAGAAAAAGTTAAAAAATATCGCAATATGTAGAAATGGTTTTGCCCGCGAAAATTTCGCACCCCCTCGAAACCCCTCACTCACCTCACTCTGCTGCTCGCCCCTCTGCCCGGCGGCGGGCCAATCGTCGCCGGCCGTCCCCGCAGCTGCGCCGACGTTTTATTTTGCGCCGCCGCCGCCGCCGCGAGCTGCCCCGCGCTGGTCCTCGGGAGCCGCGACGACAACCCCGCGCACGCCGCCACACCCACCAAGAGCAGGCACCACCCGGCACCCCTCATGCCACAGTCACAGTCACTATCGAAAGCACAGAAATAAGGCGCTCGCGAAAATCCGGGCTCCGGACTCGTCGGGATTTGGTGTGCTACTGACCGCAGACGGCGACTTTCACTCGGGGAGTTTTCAGCAGGTGCCTGCCGAGTGCCGCGACATCAGCTGGGGGGTCAACGAGCCTCTCGCTCGCTCCGCGACGCCTCTCTCTCTACTACGGCGTTCATTCAAGATTCACGCGAGTAAGATCATCCTAGGTCATAGTTGCGTCACGGAGGTGTAACGGAGCGGAGACGGCGGGGCGCCGCGGCGGGTGCGATGCTCGCGGAAGTGGCTCGGGAGGAATTTCCGATGGAGGGTTTGGGTTTTCAGCTGGATGGGTGACGAAGTTTGGAAGGTGTGACAGTGGTTAAACTGAAGGAATGAATCATGGAGCGAAAGCTCGGGAAATGAAGAGGAAAGTGAATAAACTTGAAGAAGAAATGTAAACACGATTAAAAAAACTAAGGATAATCAAAATAACTGCATCAGTTGAATAAATTTTAGTTATTACATGTCCTCTATTTTGAAATGAGTTTGATTGCTTTAATTTCAGCGGTTTGTAAAAAAAAAACATAGTACATTTTTTCTCTATACATATACAACCTTGAAATCTAAGTATTACCTGAAACCTCATGAGGATAATGGGTTGAAAAGTTGAGAAAAAGAAGTACAAGCATAGGTAACATGAAAACCGAGCCATCACTCTCTAGGAACACACAAACAGTAAAAAAGAAAAAAATTGTGATCTAATGTCAAGGTTTAACTCTGTTAGTAGATTTCTTTACTCGTGATAGCAATTGTATAGACAATATGTTTTCTAAAATGTTGATAGTATATTGTGTAAAGCTGGATTTATTGAAACCGCCCTAACTGACAACAGAAAAATCAATTTGAAAATAACGTCAACGGCACAATCAGGAGACAAAAAAAATCTGATATTATCATTTCGCCCCAAATATGTGTTTTATGCAGCAATAGAAAATAATATTCAGATCACATTAGTTACAGCTCCAAAAAACATCAAAGAGTTTGACAAAATAATAGAACACAGTGAAGTATCTTTTTGTGCTTCACCACCTTAAATGGAATATTTTTACTGTGATAAGTCTGATTTTGGCGAATGATATACGCTCTAATAAAAAAAGAAACTGCGGAGAAAACAAAAGATTTTGAGTTGAACCTCAGTTTTGCCCAAAAATCTAACTAAAGTTAGACAAATTAATAAAAAATTCTATACTCTGTAATTCTAGAATCTCGTAGACGTTTTGTTAATCTCATCACTCTATGTATGTATAGATAATAATATTAATAATAATAACAATACTAACAACTACAACAGATAAATTTCAATTGTATCATTTACCTTGCACATTACGGTTGGTCTTTCATTAACACATTAAATGTAAATGACGGCTTTGAATTATTTCTTAACACGGTCAGTGAGTTAGCAAGTCACAAATGTTCAGAAAAAAAATACATATTTCAAAGAGAGATAAAAGTAACAATAAGTGGTTTGACAATGAACTCATGGGACCAAAGATTTTAGTAAGCAATGTGTGTGTAAATATAAAAAGTGAGGAATATATGGATTAAAACAAAAAAAAAAAGGTGTTACTGGACAGAACTTTTCTCGCCCCTAAAATAGCAGCAACAGTATAAGAGTCTAAATCCTATAAATGTGTTTCGACACCACATAATTTTTTTGATTGCCTACAATATCCTACTTTTCTTTTAATGACGCACTATATATTTTTTTAGAGATTCTTGCAAAGCTTGTTTTTCTGAATTCATTAATATCATACTTTAGTTATCCAAACCCCGCCACTGATTCCAAGGCATTACAAACACACACTTGTATATAGTTGGTCTGAAATGTCCTTTTCGTCAGTCAATGCATTATTGACAAAATAAGCTTGCACCAGTGAGTTTTCCTATTTGAAAATGTTCGAACGAACATTACTTCAGCAAGGACACGCATGCCAATTCCGACATGTGCAGTATAATATTAATAATAAAACACTGGAATATACCGTTCTTGGAATTTGATCAATAAAAATATATGATAGATAATAATAGCAGGCAATAAAAAATTGGTCTAAAGAGTTTAGACAGTACTTCTCTCGCTGTCGGGAACGTGACGACTGCAAGCCTATTATGCCTTTTTTGTATTAAATTTTTGTAATTCTTGATTTAAAGAATAAAATTAATTGACTCAGACACCCTGTATAAGCAATTCTAAAAAATATTAATGCAGTGATAAATCACAAGTGTAGACTCATCATTCTTTAAACATTTAAGCATTTTTTCAGCAGAATTTTGCGGTGGCGTTATCAAATTTCTAGGGGGATGAGCAAATACATTTCGATCAAAATTTTACCATGCTTATGATAAATTTAAAACATCTCCAAGATTTCAAAGCATTCGGCTTTGTAGTTCCTGATTAAATCGATAAAATAAATTCACGCTTTCATTAATTTTTTTGAGTCACCCTATATATGCAAATCCAAAAAAATATGAATTGAATGATAAATCACAAGTACAGACTCATCATATTTTGTATATTTTAGATTGGATTTATTCGGCAAACTTTTGAGCTGACGTCATCAATTTTTTGGAGGGGATAAGTAAATATATTTTGAATAAAAATTTATCGTACTTGTTATAACTGTAAACCATCTGCAAGATTTCAAAACATTCGGTAATTATTATTATTATTATTATTAAATTAAATTGCAAAATATTGTTTCATAATTTTGTTTTTTTTTCCAAAAATCTGGACGTTTCGGGTAAAAACTCAATTCGGAATCATAAACTACATGTATAGGACTATGTTATTTTATACTATTTAAACCCCATTTACTATGTACAATTTTGAAGTGACGTCATCGCATTAGTGGTGGGGATGATTAGACAAATTTTGGTTTACCATCTAGGTACATGATATTCCTAATACAAATACAAAATTTCGCAACAATCGAATCGGTCCAGTACTTTCGGAGATTATATGTCTAATAAAAATCCGGGACGGCAGACAGACGGACAGACGGACAGACGGACAGACGGACAGACGGACAGACGGACAGACGGACAGACGGACAGACGGACAGACGGACAGACGGACAGACGAACAGACGAACAGACGGACAGACGGCAGACGGACAGACGGAGAGACAGACAGAAACGGGAGACCTATTTCTTCGTCCTCTAGGGGTCATGAAAGGCCGAGAAAACGTAAAAGTAGAGAGTCGGCCGACGGACTCGTTTACAATACTTCCTTTACTTACGCTCGGGAAGTAAAAAACATGTCACATTCGAAAGTGCGCGACTTTCACGTCCGAAATGGTTGCTGTACAATTTCGATATTTTTACAAAAAAATGGATGTATCGGAGAAAATTTGAAGACGGATTCATAAACAACAAGTACAAGAGAATGTTGTTTTATAAAATTTAAATTCTACTTACCATTGGTTAGCATTTCTACACGTTATTCCTAACATACATATAAAATTTGATAACAATCGGTGCAGTAGCTTAGGAGATTATCTGTCTAATAAAAAACTGGACATACGGCAGACAGACAGACGTAAATATTTTTTCGTATTCTAGGGGTCGAGAAAACATCAAATAATCCAGTCGCTCTACGGACTACATAGCTTACAATACTTCCTTAGCTTACGCTCAGAAAAGCTCATGAGGAGATCGAGGCGACGATTTTCACTACGCTATTTCATTGCTGGTTATGTTCGTGTTGTTCTTATCCTGGTATACAATGTTATTAATTGTTATTATTATGCAATTTGGAACCTTTGTGGGAAAATTGATGCCTTGGATAAAAATCAAGGCGGGCCACAAGTACAGGAGTACGTTATTTTATAAAATTTAAATGGTGTTTAGCAAGCTAAATTTTGAGGTCACATCGCCAAATTGTTGGTGGGAATGGAATAAAGATCAACAGAAATAGATGACAGACGACACGGGAGACCCATTTTTGCATACTCTAGTAGTTACGAAAAGTCGAAAAAACATGAAAGTATACATTCACTGGATAGATTCTATTACAAAACTACCTTAGCTTACGCTCGGCAAGTAAAAACAGGGGTTCATGGGGGGATCGAACTCGGAAACCTTCTCACTAATAGCCCGTGCTCTGATTAACTAAGTTGTAAGTAAACACGGGCTCTTATTATATTCGAATAAAACGTTAGTATACATTTGTGATCTTTTTGCGAAAACCCGGATACGTAGGGTAATCACTCAGGGCGGATTCATAAACCACAAGTACAGGAGTCCGTTTTTGCATAAAATTTAAATAGTATTTATTAAACAAAATTTACAAGTAATGTCATCAGATTATTATTAGTGTGGATAATAATTAGACAAATTTTGGTTAACGTTTTACTATCTACGCGGTATTCCTAATTTATCTGTATATGATTTGACGACGATCGATCCGGTAGTTTCGGAGAATAATTGTCTAATAAAAATCGATACAGCAAAGGACAGATAGACAAAGATCAAGCAAACAGACGGAAATGGGGGACCAATTTTTTCGTATTCTAGGGGTTATTAAAGAAAACAGAAACGTAAGCCAAAGCCATTTGCCGGATGGACCCTTTTATAATACTTCCTTAACTTACGATCTGGAAGTGAAAAATGTAATACTAAATAATAAAGCAAACAGTAAAATGAAAGAGATGTGGAAAACAATTCCAAAAAAAAATGAGAGGGTAACATTGTCAGTGATATTACTTGTGATATACTTATTTTACTTTAGTAACTCGAATTCTACTTAGTCAAAAAACTACTACTTAACTGGGATGGCTTTTTTCGTTGAAAAGTTATAACATGCGATTTTACGATTTTTGTGTTGTGTTCACCTCTATAAAGTAAAAACCAATGGCGCACTCCACAAATTCCAAGGCGAGCAGTCCATACAAGTCCGGACATTATGAATTATACTTATTTGAAACAGATAAATGGAAAATATATTTTCTAACCATCACAGAACATGCGACTGTCTATGTTTATGCTTCGAAAGAACTCAACTATTAGCACGTTCGGACAACAAACATATGCGTTAAAAGAAAATGTAATTTCACTGATTTTGTCTCCTGAAACAGAGGAGCAAGCTAATTTTAAGCTATAATGGAGCATATAATCTTGAGCAAGCTAGCTTATGATATTTACTATTTTATTATTAATAAGTATAGGCAAGCTCGGCGTTACTGTATTCTTAATTTTTCGAGATCCTCGGGTGAACCGTTCTTGATTTGAGTAAAATAATAAAATTTGATTTTGTAATTTTTTGTAATTTTGCCATACCGTCATCAATTTGGGAGAGGGGGGGGGGGTGCTAAAGAAGCATAGGTAATAAAAGCCTGGTTTGACAAAATTGGTCAAACAGTCAAGAGAATATCAACTTGGTGTGCAAAATTAAATTTCCACCACTGTACCATATGATCGAAAAAATGACCTCTAGCAAGCAATGAAATTGATTTCAAAATAGTGATGTCGGCATTATTACAATTATTTGATGGTTTATTTGATAAGCAATTGACTGTAACTGAACAAACCAGGAACGCGTTGGTGTTGACAACATCATTATTTTAAAAAACTGATCGAAAGTTATTTTGACAGAACCCAACAATAAATCCAACTTCTTTGAAAAAATATAAAATTTGATTTTGCCTATTTGGTTTATATAAAATAAAGAGTGGACATGTATTTAAAGCAGATAACCAACAGGAAAAATGTATTCTCAAAACTTCGACTGTTTATGTTTTTTTTGCATTAACATTAAAGGAAAATAAAATTTGATTGATTTTTATTAATCTGACTAGGATAAAAACTCAACACGGATTCATAAACCACCAGTGCAGGAGTGCGTTAGTTTATAAAATTTAAATAATATTTACTATTGTAAAATTTGGAAATGGCGTCATTAAATTGTTAGATAAACAAAATTTTGGTTAAAGTTTTACCGACTACACGCTAGTCTAAAATTTGACGACAATCGGTCCAGTAATTTCGGAGATTATCTGTTTAATAAAAATCGACACAAAAATCAGACAGACAGGTGGAAATAGGAGACTTTTGTTTCCGTACTCTGGTGTCATTAAACGTCGGCAAAATATGAAAGTAATAATTCGCCCGGTACAATAATATTTAATTGCGAAAACTCTACACCCATAGTCTGCATCCAAACAGTCGCAAGATTCCAACATGTTTTCGAAAAAATTGTAGTCAAGTCTACTACTAGACGAAATTAAATATTCTACATTTATGAGACAACGTTCATGCAATACAAGTTCTGTTAAAATTTTTTGAGCCATTTTGATTTTACTTCCGAAGCATACATATTTTGGAGTTCCTTGGAAAAACTGTAAAATTTTGTTACAATTTTTTTAAATTTCTACAAATTTAGGATAAGAAATATGGGTACTCTGATAAACGTGTAAACGTGTAGATGGATAATATTTTGCAAATTTTGATATGATTTCATCAAGCATTTAGAGGAAATAATCTGATTAGCGATTTACCCTGAAAAAGTAAAATTTCTAATATCTTACAAAAATTTGGTTATAGTTGGGTGTTGAGACACACAAATTTTAAACTAATTAACTGGGGGTAGTTATAAAAAAAATTGTAATTGATTTGTGTTACTCAATCAAATCAACAGAGCTAGCAGTTTCTATGTTAAATTACTTGGCAACGCAAAACTGTTAATGTCATAGTATAACTTTTTATGTCATTTACAAAAGTTTTTTCTTCGTGTTGTTTTCATATATAATATATAATTACATATAAGGCGATGTCAACGTCTAAGAAGTTCGTTACTCACTCTAGGTCAATTACTTTCCCCAGATTTCCTCCATACCAAGAGGTTCGAGAGTATCTTACGTCAAAAGCATACTTTAGCAGCATAGAATGGTATGGATACTTTAATATAGCTTATATACCAAACAATGCTATTACATATTTTCAGTGATCCTTTGCAATGGGATAGAGCAGGACACGATCCTGTATTTGATCTTATGTACAGCCAACGTAAGTTACAAAAGGCTGATAAAATTTTAGCAGACAAAAGGGAATGGGTTAAACAGGAGCATAAGAAAATTCAAATGCAGTGGGATGATTTATACGAAAAGGAGATGAAACTAAATCATACTTTTAGAAAATTAAGTCATGTGAGTAGGGGTTTGCTTAGAAGTGGAGGAATTTACAATAGTTAGTAGTTTATCAAATCCAACGAGGAAAAGAGAACGAGAGCTATGAAAATTCGTGACGAAGATTACCAACTGCGAATGCAAAGGACCGAAGAGATCGAAAATTTGGAGAAGAAGTGTAATCTAGTAATAAAAGCGCAACAGGAAATTGATGCTAATATAGCAGCTTTGAAAATATACGAGGTACAACCTAGCTAATTGTATGTAGTAAACCTGTTTTAATATTAACGTAATTAATTTTTATGTTTCGCATGCTAATTTGCCAGTAATCAAAATCTTAGTGTAAACAATTACTCTTTAAAATTCTTATTGTTATCTTGTATGAATCTATTGCATAACGAACCTGAATTTAGATCTAGTTTACGTGTCATTTTATGGACAATAAAGTCCTTCGTTAGAAAAAGAATTTTCTTAACACAAGTGGTGATTAATTTTTATCGATGAATTTATATCAGCGTACACTAAAATATTATGCAAGCTGAATAGAAATAACCTATTACACTGTGATAACATCTTACCACCACATAAAAGAACTTATCTAAGAAAATAATGGGCGGATTTTAATTGACATTTAATTTTGTACATAATCCTGCCTATGATCCAAATGAAAACCCAATATCTGATCATCTGATATAAAATGAGTTTTTCAGAAATATTTAAATACAGTGGCAGGTGAAAGTGAAGACTTAAAAAACGCAGATCATTTGATCAATCGTTACGAAGCTCTTGTGAATACCAGAAACTTGCTCGGTAAACGTCAAGACGAAAACCTAGGAGAATTAGAAAACGCTAGAGCCAAAACCGTAAATTGTTTATCCTCTCGGTGTTCATTCCCCAAAAAATTATTTTTTAGTCGAAAATGGTCGAAGAGAACAAGTTCAAGATCCTGGGCCTTAATAACGTAGTTGCCGATTTGCGTTCTCGTTACAACACCGCTTTTCGTGAAGCTCTGCACTGGGAGAATCTCGTCTTAGCAATCAAAAGACATTCCTATGAAAAGTACCAAGAAATTATCGAAGTGAGGGAAAGTTCTAGGAACGTGTACCTGCAAATGTGTAAGAGGAAGGGTGAAATGCCAAAAATTCGCGAAGATGATTTTGAGAAACAATTAATTTTCATAAAAGAGACTCTAAAAGAATTGCGAGCCGTAAAAATGAATGCGCAGGGTTCTTTACATTCAAGAAAAGGCGTAAAATAATTGGTACGAATTTCATTTGACGTAGTGTGTACTTTACGTATTTTAATTTTTATATTAATAAAGGTTTTTAAACGCAGTGAACTGGCTCTCGATGTATGGACATTATTGTAATTGTAGAGTTAAGGGTCATTAGAATGTCGACCTTTTTTTACGTTTCGGTGCAGTGATTATTAATGTTTCAGATGGTATTAATTTTCAATCTTGTAGTGTGGTTAGTTAACATGTAGTCAGGGTCAACAATATGTGATTACTGATTACTTTCGAATTGCACTAATTTAATTCCTTCTTCCTAATTTGTTAGATTGGTTCAAGTGCATTTGGATTCTTGTTTCTGGTTTAGTAATTAATAATTGCTGTAGTTTTATTTAAAAAAATTACAAGGTATTCTGCATTTTTAACGGTTATTTTAGTTCATCGAATCATGGTGAATCTACCATGAAACTAAACTCAAAATAGTATGTAAAATACAGAATGTAAGTAAATATTTAAATGAGGATTAAACAGTGTTACTAAAAAATTATAAAGTTATTATTGTGATAAATACTGTACTGTATGTCAAAATAAAAAAAAATACTTAATCATATTTTAATACAGTCATTAACTTTCTGGTGGTGGTAAATAATAATGAATATAATTACGGTTAATAACGTTTTTTAAATTTTTAAAAAATTAAATGAGCCCTTTTTGCAGTAATTACTAAAATAATTATTATTCATATATTTTATTTTAACATTGTCTGTGTACTCAGTTCTAAATAAAACAACAACTTATCACTTAACACAAAAAATACTCCACCGTAGGCGCATTTTTGGACATATCAAAAGAGAAATAAGAAAACATGGTCAAAGTCAGCCATGAACAGTCTGTCTGTCGTTGTCCGTCGTCTGTCATTTGTGTTGATTTTTACTAGATAGACGATATTTGAAACCACTAAACGATATGACAGGAACACATCGTGCAGATGGTAAAGGCTAATTAAAATCTCTCCCACCAACACTCATTTTCTTGGTTAATTAAGGTTATCCGAATTTTATGAAATAATATAGTCCTGTACGTGTGGTTTATTAATCTACCTTAATTTTGTTTATTTTATATTTTTACTTCCCGAGCGTAAGCAAAGGAAGTATTGTAATCGTGTCCGTCGGCCGACTCTCTACTTTTACGTTTTCTCGATCTTTCAGGACCCCTAGAAGACGAAGAAATAGGTCTCCCATTTCCGTCTGTCTGTCCGTCTGTCCGTCTGTTCGTCTGTCCGTCTGTCAGTCTGTCAGCCGTCCCGGATTTTTATTAGACAAATAATCTCCGAAAGTAATGGACCAATTGTTGTGAAATTTTGTAGTTATATTAGGAATATCATGTAGATGGTAAAACGCTAACCAAAATTTGTCTAATCATCCCCACCACTAATGTGATGACGTCACTTCAAAATTGTACATAGTAAATGGGTTTTAAATTGTATCAAATAATATAGTCCTAAACATGTAGTTTACGACTCCGAATTGAGTTTTTACTCGAAACGTCCAGATTTTTGGAAAAAAAATCAAAATTATAAAACAACATGTTGAAATTTAATTTTGAATCTGCTAATCCGAATGTTTTGAAATGTTGCAGATGTTTTAAGGCTATAAAGAGCATCATAAATCTTTACTCGAAATATATTTGGTTATCCCCTCGAAAAACTTGATGACGTCAGCTCAAAAGTTTGCCAAATAAATCCTATGTAAAATGTACAAAATATGATGAGTCTGTGCTTGTGATATATCACTCCATTCATATTTTTTGGATTTGCATATACAGGGTGACTCAAAAAAAATAATGAATGCGTAAATTTATTTTACTTCCTCTTGTCTCGCTAAAGCTCGTTTACTGTCGTCTGAACTAACTCGGTAAATTAGCCTTTACACGCACGCTGCCTGTAAAGCGTTACCGTGGCAGCTTTACAGACACCGTGCCTGTAAAACGTTGTCATGACAGCACCGGAATCAAACACACATTCGCTGCGTCGGCCTTTTTCTTAATCTCACTAATACTGTGCTAATACTAACGTTAAAATCACCTTCAAACTCTTCATCTTCATCGAATTCCACAATTAACAGAGCTCAGAAACAAAATTAAACTATTTAAATTATTAATCGAATTTACAAATTGACAGTCCCGTTATTTTCAAACAATTCAATTTTCCATAGTTACCGGAGCAAACTATGAAAAATAACTACAATTTCTATGACTGTAATTTCAAGTAAAATTTCTAGAGATGCCAAAGATGTTCATTTTCAGGATTTTCAGCAAGAGGAAGTAAAACGTTGTACGCGGCTCGCTTGCAACTAGCCTTTACTGGGGCTCACCGGATTACAGAGCTCGCTCCTACGTCGCTCGCCCTGCAAACATTCCGGCTCGCCCGTAAAGGCTAATTTACTAAGCTTGCCACGTAAATAACTATTACTGATTTACTCAGGAACTACAAAACCGAATGCTTTGAAATCTTGAAGGTGTTTTAAAGTTATCATAAGCATGGTAAGTTTTTGATCAAAATGTATTTGCTCATCCCCCCTAAAAAATTTATGACGTCACCACAAAATTTTGCCGAATAAATCCTATCTAAAATGTACAAAATATGGTGAGTCTCTTCTGGTGATTGATCATTCCATTCATAGTTTTTGGATTTGCATATACAAGGTGACCCAAAACAATTAATGAATGGGTAAATGTATTTTATTGATTTAATCAGGAACTCCAGAACCGAATGTTTTGAAATCTTGCAAATGTTTTAAGGTTATAAAGAGCATAATAAATTTTTAGTCAAAATATATTTGGTTATCTTCTACAAAAAACTCATGACGTCAGCTCAAAAGTTTGCCGAATAAATCCTATCTAGAATATACAAAATATGATGAGTCCGTACTTGTAATTTATCATTCCATTCATACTTTTTGAATTTGCATATACCGGGTGACTCAAAAAAAATAATGAAATCTACTGCGAAAAAAAAACATAATAGACATGCAGTCGTCACGTTTCCGACAGCGAGGGAAGTACTGTCTGAACACTTTAGACCAATTTTTTATTGTCTAATCCGTCTAGTCCTTTAGACACATAATATGATTTTCCATTAACTATGGGATAACCCTTCAACTTCATAGACGAGCAGTGCTCGGATCAAAGGCCAAGCCGGAGCCCAGTTTTTTTTAGTAAGTAAAATTTGAGAATACAGTACTGTTATTATTATTAGTATTACAATGCACCTCCTCAAATTATTAGTATAAATATCCTTGTTAAAATGTTGATGACGTCATAACATTTTTTTTATGGGAAACTTTTTTTTTTCTTACATTGTGATTGGTTTACCTGGACTTTAGCCATCTATACACATTTAAATTAGAAGGGTTATTTTAATTTTATAATTTTTTGGAAGAAGTTGAAATTGTTAGACTGTACTTCGAGAAGTGTGACCAATATTTTTGTATTAACATCATCTTGTTTTTCTTTAATTACAAAATGCTGAGAAATCTATTTTTTGCATTAAAAAAATTAGACAACTTATCAACCACGCAGAAACAATCGTCTCCGCTTCTTGCTCTGAGTTTATCGTTTCTAGGAAAAATGCGTTTGTGTCGATGCAAAATCTAGTCCATGATAACAAAGCTACCGTTAACAATTTACTATTTCCTTTGATATTTCGATTTAGGTTTGCTTATACAGAATGACTGAAAAAAAATTTCACCCCATTTTCGCGAAAATTTGAGTCCACAACATAGACGGAATAGGCGATATCAATGAGGGAGCCGTCAATGCACGGCCCCTTGACTCGAGGGGAGGTGTTGGGGCGAGTAAATGCTGATCATTTCCTGCACAATTGAATTGATTGTTTTTTAGAGAATTTATACAGGATACGGGTCTTAATGAGTATAACTCTAAAATAAAAAAAAAAATTAATAAAAGTCTTCTCGTTTTTGAGATAAAAATCATTGAAATTTTACTCAAAAATTGTTGTGCGCCACTGGGTTAAGGTGATTAAACGATAGTTCTTTAGTTGTTAAGCAACAGTTTTATAGATAAAAGTTTTGTTTTCGTTGAAAGCTTGATTGTCAGTCATAGTTTTGGAGTTAGATATTGGACAGACATTTCCTTTATTTTGATTTACGTTGTTTAAAAAAAAGGTTTTTTGAGTTTGTATAACTGGTTGCCTAAATGCTTCATATCAAATTTATTGGGGTTAAACATCACAGTAAATATGAAATGTTCACCATTTAATTCTCTTTTTAATTGCAAAAATGTTCTGTAACATCATTTCGTCAATACTTTGGAGCCATTGCAATTTCATGTTGCAACAGGGACTCCTTATTGCTGAGGAAATCTTGTCAAAGTCGTCTCAAATCATCAACAACTTCCTCAGTGGTTACAAAATACACATACTCTTCGTGTACGAAGTCCCATTACGATGACAAGACATAATAATGGAAGTGTCTTGTCCAACAGAATAAACCATTTTCACGGTCTTCGCTTCCTAGTACAAAAACAACAATTTTCGTACCCAAGCACCAACAATTTTGAAAACGACTATTTTGTTGTTTTGAGCTTGAATCAATGAGAATTACCGTAATTCACACTTGAAAAACGTTAAAACAATAAAAACGATGTCTTTAAATGACAGGTTACAAGTGAAAACAATTTTCAAGAGCTTATGTTTTTTAGAATAATATCAACTGAATCGTATAATCTAACATCTTTGTTTTGTAGTTAATTTGCTAGCAATGATAACAAAACATGAACAACTTAAGCTATAATGCTAGTGATTACTGATTACTATTATGTCTCAGCTTTATAATTTAAATAATCTGTTAATTTCCTGTTTGTGGCCTTTTCTACTCATTGCATAAACCTTTTTTTAATAAAATTAATTTCTTAGTAATTACACAATTATTAATAATAACACGAAATTCGACCAAATTCCCATCGGTACACCCACTAAGGTCACAGAACAATGCTCGGCATAGATTTAAACAATAGCAGCTAATATTTCTAATTTTCAAGGAGCAAAACACCAACTAACC